GAAAAGCATTGGAGGGGCAAGATGTTCAGAGCGGAACGGGTGGGCCATTTAATCCAATTGGGTCAATCCCATTTCCGCTCGTTGTTGGGCAGCTTTACCACAAGTGGGTAAGAAGGTCAGGGACACGAGGGAGATGCCAGCTCGGTCTTTCACAACCAGCCTAAGCGTTATGGGTTACGTATGATGTGGGACAGAGAGGCCCCTTTCATTGTCCCCCGGCGTGATCTTCGGTGGATGGCCAAGAGGCGGTTCGCTCATGGAAGAGAGGGCCACGGAGGAGTGGAAAATGGCCTCCCACAGCTCTTGTTGGCGTTTGGAGGCAAGCTTGGTGACCCGCAAGGGCTTGGAGGGCTCTGGAAGTTGTGGTTCAAAAAAAGTAAACATTTCCAAGCTCGGGGAGAAGCACCCTCTTCCATTTGCCTCAGGCACCAGAATGTCTTGGGTCAGCCCTAGATCAGGAAAAGAGGGAACCGTAAACTCAGGATAAAGAAAATATAATGTCCTTTATTGCAGTACAAAATGGCCAGTGCAAATGGATTTAATAGAGCGGATTACAGACCGATTAAACAGAGAAAGATCTAATAAGAGTTTAATCAACGTGCCCTAAAAAGAAGGCTAATAGGTCGAAACGCGTCAGGCATTTTCCACTGAAAGAAAGCACGTCGTGTTTTCTACATCCCGGTATTACCATTTCCCCTCCCTTTTTTTGACCCAAGATCTCAGTGGGTGTACCATTTTTTATTTCTTTTTTTTTTTGATTTTTGGGGGTCAGCCCTAGCAAGCTGTAAATATCCACCAGGGTATTCTTGAGGACAAGTTAACTAGACCAGGAAGCTCTTTTGCAAAAGCCCGAGGACCCCCCCCTTTGGGTTTCCCAAATTGCCTAAATAAGGGACTTCGGGATCACTTATGTCCTTAAACGTGGTTCCCAACCTTGGGCCCCCAGATCTTTTTGGTCTACAACCCCCAAAAGCCTTCACCACACGCTGTGCTAGACAGGATTTCTGGGATTTGAAGTCCAAGGACATCTGGAGGCCCACTCTCCTAAAATGGTGGCCCCAAACCACTGAGGTTTCTGAGGGAATTCACTTCGGGTGCCTTTGTAGCTTTAAAACCGCGATTTAACAGGTATGATGATCATTATTAGCACCCAGGCTCATGAAAATCGGACAGAGATCGTTCCTCACAGACTTTTTGTGAGAGGTGGGCCTTTGACATCTCTTGGCTCTGATTGGCTTTTGGGACTGGCTCATCCTTTTGGATTGGACACAGGCCCTTCTATCAACGTCCTGCCTGAGGCCTGCCCTTCAGTCCTTGAAATTCCAGCTACAGTATGAATCATCTCCATTCGTGTTCCACCGAATCTTGTTTTTTTCCCTTTGGGATGAATCTTGCCAACTGACCGGCAAAATCTTGTCTGCAGTGCTCTTGTGCCATTAATAGTAACCGTAGGTGCAGAAATCAGCAGATCAAGGTTTTCAGGACAGGGTGTACCCTGCCTGCGTACCTCTGAGCACCAAGCTTTGGTGAAAGGCAGAGCAGCTGAGGCTGGACAAAAAGTTGGCAACCCTGTCTCCAAGTTACTTCTGCCCATTTCTCCTCCCTAGCAGACGTGTTATCTCTCCGGTGGTTGACCTACATTTGAGTCTCATCCTGGCAGCAGTCAGGGACTCATGGGGAATATCAGTTATGTAACATTCATTGTCAATTCGTGAGTTTGAAGGCGTTTGTGGCGCGCGTTGTTCAGAAACCAGTCCGCGTTCCTATTTTGGGACTACAGCTCCCAGAATCCGTCCCAACCCATGGGGAAGTTTGGAAGTTGTAGAGTGTGCAAAATAAGGAGGCCGAGTTCTGGAATTCCTGCACTGCAGGGAAGTCAGAGGGATGTGCAATGCGAGGAGACCCCCTTTTTGCTCGGTTTTGGGGTGAGGCACAACCTCTGATCCTCACCCCCCGGACATCAGCCTCGCTGGCTCTCAGACAATAGCCGGGTGGCTGTTCTTGCCAAGGATGAGCAAGAGCCAAAGATGACGTTCGCCCTCCCGAAGTGGGGGAGAGCAGGAGCCCATCCGAAGAAGGATGAGCAGGTGAAAGCAGCTTAAGGAGAGGAGATTGGTCTGGCCCCCTGACCCGCCAGGGTGGGGTAGGGGATCGGGAGGGGATTAAGGACAAACTGATTACCCCAAACTCTCCTCCACCTCCCCTTTGTGGTGGAGTCGTCACACCGCTCGAGAAGGAAGGGCGGCCGGCTTCGGCCACTCTGCCCGGGCACCCCACTGGCCCTTCAACCCTACCGAGCTGTTGTGGTGGTGTGTATAGTGGGGGGCTAGGGACTCAGGAGAACTGGGTTCAGGTCGCTGCTTGGCCACAGAAACTCACTGCGGGCTGGCGGTGGAAGTGGGGAAAAACCACTCCTTGAACATCTCAGAGACCTCAGAAACTCAATTAGGGTTGCCATACCTCTGAAGGGAGTTATTGGCATATTTAGGCATTCAAGGGAAAAAAAAGGGAGAACCCCCCTGGCAGATGTGCTTTGGTGTGGGTTCCTGCCTTGAGCGGGGGGGGGGAGTCAGACTCGGTGGTCCAGCTCCATCCTTCTAGGATTCAATGACGCCCTCGCATACTAGACCACAAGGCCTGCCAGAGTATTCTCTCTCTCTCTCGTGCTACCACAGAAAGGTCCTTCAAAGGCACCCTTTGGGACACCCCATCCAGAGTACTACACGTACAGAAAGTCCGGTTTGTGTTTCTGTGAACGGAAAGACAGGCGAGCCAAGGTGAGGCCGTGGCCAGAGTGTTGGTCTAGGACTCAGGAGGCCAGGATTCAAAGCCCCACAAAGCCATCGATCTTTCCTGCCCGATGGCAACCGCGAACCATGCCTTGAGCCTCTCAAATAAGTTGAAAATCCTGTTAGGGTTCCTGGCCAGGCAGCAGGCGTCCTGATACCTCCCCGACGGCCACAGACGCAGAGATACCGGAGTACGATTTGAGAGTTTGGCTTTCAGAAGAGCTCCACCAGTGTGGCCGGACGCTGTCAAGATCATTCTGACTCAGGGGTGTCTCTGGAAGGACCTGCTGTCCTAGCCCCCCACCCCATGGATTGGTCCCCTTTTGACCAGATCATAGCAACAGGATCTCCCAAGGATCTCCCGACCGGGAAAGAGTTTGGAAACTCCAGCTGCAGCAAATTCCAGTCCCTGGATTGTCTGGGGTCTGCTTTACAAGATTTTGGGTGGTGAACTTCAAGGGTCAGTTCAACGGGCTGGCTGTTACAAACTCCCAAATAGTAAAGGGAAAGCCACTGGTGCGCAATCTTCTCCTGGCATCTAGGAGATACCTGAGTTCAGCCTCTCTCCCAGCCGTAGTCTTGTGAAATCCACCCCCTGAAATATTTTGTCCTCCTTGGGAATCTGACCTGAGCCCCTGTAAGTCAGAACGGACCTGATGGTGACGAACATGCAACTCTCCCCCCCCCCCCAACACCAGCTGTCTGGATAACTGATTTTGGAGCACTTTGGATCAGGAGGACCTTAATTCCTCACTGAGCCTTCGGGGAGAAGAGCCAGCCTGGGTAGCCGTGGTCCAGAGTACTTTAGAGCAGTGGGCCCCCAACCTTGGGCCTCCAGATGTTCTTGGACTTCAACTCCCAGAAATCTTGGCCAGCACAGCTTGTGGTCAAGGCTTCTGGGAGTTGTAGTCCAAGAACACCTGGAGGCCCAAGGTTGGGGAATCACTGCTTTAGAGCTTTAAAATACACCGAGAAGGGTTTGCTGTAAACCTGAATGGATTTGACAGCATCCATACTGTTATTATGAATAAATGAGTCCACGTACAGCTTGGGTCACTTCCTGTTGGGGTTGACATTTGGAGTATGGTTATGGTCCGGACAAAATACAGGGCCTTTTGCGTGGTGACCCTCTCGGTGGAAGACTTTTAGGGATGCTTCGGAAGTTCCCTGTGTTTTGCTTTTTAGCCACTTTGTGCAAACGTTTCATTGTCTGCTTTGCCAAGATTTAATCCCATTTGGTTTCCAAACCTCAACCCTCGGATTAAATTCTTGTGGTTCTGTTTTCCACAGTGGTTTTAATTTACTGTTTTTTTGTGTTTTTTTTGGTATGGTGTGGCTATCTGGATACAGTGGACCCTGTACTTACGGAATTAATCTGTATTGGAACGGTGGCTGCAGGTCGAAAAGTCTGTAAGTCAAGTCTCCATTGACCTACAATGCATTGAAAACTGATTAATCCCGTAACCGGCCGTTTTTGTTCCATTTTGGTTTTTTTCTGGTCTGTAGGTCAATTCTCTGGCTGCAAGTCAAACCTAAATTTTGCGGCCAGAGAAGTCTGTAACTTGAAAAGTCTGTAGGTCGAGGGTCCACTGTAGTTGAATGAATCGTGTAGCTGGCTGTAAACTGAACGTCAGGAGTTTGATTCCCTGTGGTGGCTCCCAGCGTGGCTCGTGGACCAAGTTGCCTAGGCCCCACGGAGTCCTTAGATTAGAAGAAAGGAATGGTCAACCACTGAACCTTGGCAAGGGACACTAGAACTTGGAATCAGCCCGATGGCACATAATTCTTATTCTTATTATTGCAAGTTTGCTTGGTTGACTTTTGGGCTAAAAGACAGGATATAATAAATTTTTATATAAATAAGAGGATTGTCACAGGAAGTCAGAGACAGAGGGAAAGACTGAAAAGGAAAGAGAGAGAGAGAGAATTGAAATGAAAGGAGATGATCCGATACCACAGGTGGGGTTCAAAGCCAGCCAAATGCAAGGGACTTCACACCGAAGGCTTATTTGTAAAAAAAAAAAGATCCAGAATAGGAGGATGAGAAACGCTGCCAGTTGGCAAATCCTTCCTTCTTGAACTGGGCAGTGAAATATCCTTCTGGGTTGTGTCTCTGTGGCAGTGAGCCATGCAACTCGCCTTTTGCCCAGGGGGGATGCTGTGGTCCGTTGCCAGGGCAACAGGGAATCTAGAACTCCAGCATCTCAGGTGAAGAGGATGTCACCTGTAAGAATATGTTCCCACTCCCTTGTGATGCTGGCCTGGGCAGGGAGGAGGCTGGGGGTGTAATTGGCGCAGGAACCAACGGACTAGGGTGGTGATGCGCCTTGATGACCTCAGAGATATGACCCACGAACCGTCCGTGAGCCGATGGAGCACCCACCGGAGAGTAAGGCAGAAGGACAGGGAGAGGGGAAGGGAGGCAAAAAAAGGGTGGTGTATGGAAAGAGAGTGGGTGCGCAAGCCATCTGCCTGGGGCGTTTGAATGATGCCAATACTACCCTGAATGCAGGAAACAGAACAGTCTTGTGCAATTTGGAAGCTGAGCAGGGTGTGGCTCGGTTAGCCCTTGAGTTGGGGGGGCACTTGGGAATATGAAGGACCTCCCGGAAGGGTGAGGAAGGAGTCCTGCTTGCACTGGTGTCAGTTTGAGTTGACGATCCTGGTCAGTGTGAGGCAAGGATCCCAGTGTTAGGCTGATGTTCATGCTTGTAAGAACGTAAGAGGGGGCTGTGTGTCTTAGAAGACAGGAACAAAATTCAAAGTGATCTTGTTAGGCTCGAGCACTGGGTTGAAACAACAGAATGAAACTGAACAGGGATAAATGCAAAGTTCTGCACCGATAGGCGGGGGGGGGAACCTAAATGTACATTTACAAGATGGGGGATATTTGGCTCACCAATACTGCGAGCAAGAAATGGGGAATATTTGGCTCACCAATACTGCGAGCAAGGAGGATCCTGTAGGTTACAAAGTGAAGATAAGCCAACAGGGCGATGTGGCTGCAAAAAAGGCAAATGTGATTTCAGAATGCATTAACAGCAGTATAGTCTCCAATTCCTGTGAGCTACAGTTCCCCTCTATTCAACACGGGTGAGGCCTCATCGGGACACTGCATTTCAAGACGGATGCGAACCAACTGGAGGAAGTTCAGAGGAGGGCAACAAGGAGGGTCAGGGGGCTGGAAGCCAAACCCTAGGAGGAAAGACAGAAAGAATTGGAGAAAGAACTGGGTCTGTTTAACCTTAAGAAAAGAAGACCGAGGGGTGATAAGTTCACACTTTTCAAATATTTGAAAGGCCGTCCTATTTGCACTTTTCAAATATTCGAAAGGCCGTCCTACAGAGGAGGGTCAGGATCTGTTCTCCATCATCCCAGAGTGCAAGACGCGCAACCATGGGCTCAAGCTAATAGGAAGCCAGACTTGGGCTGAATATCAGGACTATGGGCTCAAGCTAACAGGAAGCCAGACTTGGGCTGAATATCAGGAAAAACTTCCTAACTGTTAAGAGCAGTACGACGGTGGAACCTATGACCTCAAAGGGAGGCGGTGAGGACTCCAACGCTGGAGAGGCCTTCAAGAGAAAACAGGACAACCCCTGGAGGAACCCATGGCCTCAAAGGGAGGCAGTGAGGACTCCAACGCTGGAGAGGCCTTCCAGAGAAAACAGGACAACCCCTTGGCAGATCTGCTTGGACGTGGATTCCTGCCTTGAGCCGGGGGTTGGACTGGATGGCCTTACGGGCCCCTCCCAACCCCATGATTCTCTGTGGCGGTGTGTGGATTCCAACCGTTGGTCCCAACGGGGCCTGTCCTGATGGGTGGCCCTTCCCGTGGCCTCAGGGAAAGAGTGGCCTTTCCCAGCTCCATGACCAGAGGGGTCTTCTCCCCAGAGATACCAAGAGACCCTCCAGATGCCGGGCAAATAGGCGACTGTGGAGCTTCTATCGTGACAGAAAAACGGTGAGGTCTTTTTCCCCCCCTTTGGATTTTTCTCTTCTGGGTCAAGTCCACGTTGTCCCCTCCTGGCTGTGCTCTGAACAACATCAGCATTTTTTTCCTGGGCCGATCCACGCAACCATTGTACCCTATGAGGATCTGGGTCTTGCAGAAAGGAGAAACGCTCCTCTTTTTAAAGGTGAAAGGCGCCCACGATGGCTGGGGCTTTCTTAGGCGCCTAGAACCCCCCCCCCAAAAAGAGAAATGTTCCCGATTTCTGGGTTCCTCTGCATGAGGATGACCTGATCCCTAACCTACTCTCTTCCTGCTGCTTTCTCGTCCTTCAACATCTCGTTTTCACCTAAGCTATTTTTAGGGTGACTTCTTTCCACCCGGCTGGTTTTGCACCACCAAGTGACGGCTGCTCCAGCTTGGAACTCTTCTCTGGAGCGGTTTCATAGCTGTAAGTCCTGCTTTCTTTCCATCTGTTGTAAACACCCCCCCTGTGCTTAACCCTTTCTTCTTTTCCTCCCCTTCCTTGATTCTTTCCTCAAAGGATTTCCAAGGGCTTTGCAGGCAGAAATCAGCAGAGATGGGAGTCTCAGAGTCTTCGTCTCAATGGGCATCGACCGAGCTGTGCAGCTGGTGAATTACCTAAGAGCGGAAAAGCAACCCGAAATGGCAATCGGACCGCCCTACCTTCTCTTCTGCTCACTCCTCATTTTCTCCTCCTGTTTTTATGGCATGAATGTTGATGGGATCTAAAGACAGGATGTTTCTGGTCATTTTTCTGGAAAAAAAAATTCATTGTTGTTGTTGTTACTTGCTGTTATATTGCCCCTGATTTATGGTGACGCAATGAGTAAGTCATCTCCAAAATGTCTTCTCCTCAACTGCCCTGATCAGCTCCTGCAGACTCAAGCCTGTGGCTTCTTTTAAAGAGTCCATCCATCTCATACTTCCTCTTCCTCTTTTCCTGCTGCCTTCAACATGTCCTAGCATTATTGTCTCCTCCACAGAATCCAGTCTTCTCAGGATGGGCCCAAAGTAGAGCCCAGCCTCAGGTTCAACTTTTTTGCCTCCAGAGATCATTCAGGCTTGATTTGCTCAAGGACCCACTTGTTCCTCTTTCTGGCAGTCCGGGTCATCTGGCACATTTCAAACCAATCTTTTCTTCTTCTTCTTCTTCTTCCTGTCCGCTTCCTTTACGGTTCAGCTTTCACATCCAGAGTGACTGGAAATGCAAGAGTACGGATGCTCTTGGTTGGTCTCCAGTGACACACCCTTACACACTAGATAATCCTTTCTAGTTCCTTCATTGCTGAGTCACTTCCTCATCTCAGCCTTCTTCTGATTTCCTGGATTGATGACAGAGCCGAGGGATGCAAAATCGCTCACAACTTCAGCTTCCTCATGGCCAATTTTCCACGGCACGCTTGCAAAGCCGAGAAGCTGTGAACAACCCCAGGACTTGTTTCTGAGCTTGAATTCCTTCCTAGCGGACGTAAGGACAAAACCAAGCAGACACTCACCGCCATCCTAGCCGAAAATAGCCCCATGACCCTCCCTCTGCCTCACGGACTGCGCTGGGCATTAGCAGGATGGGCAATTTCATAAAGATGGGTGATGCCAGGCTGCAGGCCGTGCAGCCATGACTGGATCGGAAAAAGAAGCAGAAGAGGTGCGAGATGCACAGGACGATGCAGATGCGTTAAAGACCCCAAAGCCTCCTTTTTCCTGCCTCTGGGAGCCCATCGTCCCCTATAAGAACAGACCTTCTACCACCCCCTGGTGGAGAAGTGTGAGAACAGATTCAAGGGTAATGGGCAAAATTAAAGAGGGGAAAAAAAGAGGGAAAAGCAAAATACTGCTTCAAAGACTAACAGATCTACTTCTTTGGGAGTTTTGGGGATCAAAATCTTGATTCACCAAAGCTCACATGGAAATTCGTCACAATGGGTTCTTTTGCTGTTTTTCTCTTTCCCCGACACGATGAAAGGCTGCCGATTCCAGGTCAGAATATACATTCCAGCTAGCGATTCATTAGAAGCACTGTGGCCTTAGGAAGTCAGCGCTGTTTCTTTATCCGAGCACAAATTTCCAATGGCTTCCCAAGAGGGCAGCTTAGATTCCCCCCCCACCCCTGTAATCGGTCCTGAGGATGGAAACACAGATTTCAGTGCTCTGTCTGATTGTGCAGACCCGGCAGTTTGGGAAGAGTTTTCCTCTGGAGAAATGAGGTTTGATCCCTTCCTAACTGTGAAGCGGGTATCTCGGAATGTGACACAACACTGGACGACGTCGCTCCTTCGGTGGAGTTACTGCAACTTGTCCGGTGCTTTTATAGTTACAGGGTGTGCCACTTTCAGGGGCCTCCTTTGAGACGCCACATGGAAATTTGTAGAATTTTTACCTCTCCAGAGAGAACTTAACTAAAGTCTCAGAAGCCTTTCATTAAGGTCTCTACGTTATATAGCTTAAATACAGTGCTTCCCTGAAAATAAGGCAGGGTCTTATATTAATTTTTGCTCCAAAAAACGGACTAGGGCTTATTTTCAGGGGATGTTTTATTGTTTTTCATGTACAACAATCTACATTTATTCAAACAGAACCCTGTCCTCTTCTTCTGGTTGCTGCACAAGGGTGGAGGGCAGGGTTTAACTTAACTGGGGCTTATTTTTGGGGTAGGGCTTATATGATGAGCATCCTGAAAAACCAGACTAGGGCTTATCTTCAGGTTAGGTCTCATTTTCGGGGAAACAGGGTACCTTGTCATAGTCATATTCTTTATCATTGTAAAATAACATATTACACACTCCATATTTTCTTTCAGTTTTTCTGGAAAACCCCCTCCTAAAAATGGCTTTGGAAAAAGAAAAAAAAAGCAGAAAAAACTGTTTTCCCCCCCAATTTTTCTTCTTTTTCCTATCTCTAGTCATGGGCCATGCTGAATACAAATGGATTATGACAGTTGTGTGCATGCATGTGGATACGCTCCTCAGTGTATTTTCTATGTGCGTGTGTCTTTGTCTAGGTGTGAGCCAGAAAGTGGGTTGACTTCTTTATTTGTAAGCGTAAAGGTTCCCCTTGACCTTGAGTCCAGTCGTGTCCGACTCTAGGGCGTGGTGCCCATCCCCGTCTCCAAGCCATAGAGCCAGCGTTTGTCCATAGACAGTTTTCCGTGGTCACGTGGCCAGTGCGACTAGACACAGAACACTGTTTCCTTCCCACTGAGGTGGTACCTATTTACCTACTCGCATTTTTACATGCTTCGAACGGCTAGGTTGGCAGGAGCTGGGACACGCAACGGGAGCTCACTCCATTGGATTTGATCTTACGACGGCTGATCTTCTGACCTTGGAGCACAGAGGCTTCTGCGGTTTAACCCGCAGCGCCACCACATCCCTATTTGTACATGCAGTCAAATCCTATGATTTGTAGGATCCCTT